CCTGGTTTCCTTGCCATTGCTACACTGAAGGCACAACTACGCGATGTGAAAAAGACGTGCATGTTTTTTAGGTCAGATTGTTCAGTTCGTCGCCTGCCATGCTGAGCCCCCTCCCATGTCTGGAAGGCACAACCGAAACCCATGGTTGTGCCTAAGGTCTCGCCCCTCTCCCACGACCTCGAGGTTACGGAGGGCAGGGGGGGTGAGGTGTACGTGGTGCCACTGCTCTGGCAAAACTGCGCTCTCGCGAGCGAAGTTAGAGCAGCCTGGAGCGAAGTGCGAACCGACTCCGCTCCACCTTTATCTTTCAGCTGTGAGAGCCGAGCGTCACAAAGGTCTCCCCCCGAGGGCACGAAGTGATGTGGTCTTACATGCTTGCCGAGAGTGAGGCCTCACCTATGATGGCCTGCATGTGCAGGCCCTCGAGGCATTTGAATATCGGGGCCATCTTGTGCAGCCCACCGACAAGTTTCTGCTGTGCCGCCGCTGCGGCGCCCGAGTCTCCATCGAGGCCCCTGTCTGGCGGGGCCTCTTTGCGGACTGCCAAGGCCAAGCGGAGAGGGCGTCGGTGCAGTCCTGGCGCATCGAAGCTGCTCTCGCTGGTCGCGAGGTCCGCTAACGCCACAGCTTGTGTAGCAGGCAGCGGCTGGTGCCGTCGTGCTGTCTGCTAGCTCTGTTGTGGCTTGAGCGGCCCTCGGCCTGTGCGGAGGGTGGTTGGACCGTGACGGCGGGAATCCAACGCCCTCGGTCTGATCCCTGACCCCTGATCCCGTGACGGCGGGTGTTGCGCCTCGGTCTGATCCCTGATCTCTCCTCCTCCTCCTCCTCCTCCTCCTCCAGTTCCTGACCGTTTGTTTTTCTCCCTCCTCCTCTTTCTCCTCCACCTCTGTCCTTCCCCTTCTCTTCCCTCCTCTTTCTCCTTCTTCTCTCCTCCCTCCTCCTTCACCCCCCTCCTCCGTCCTCCGCTCTCAGTCCTCCCTCCTCCCTCGTCCCTACTCCGTCCTCCTCCTCCGTCCTCCGTCCTCCGTCCTCCTGCCTCCTCCTCGTCCTCCTCCTCTTCTTCCTCGTCCTCCTCTTCTTCCTCGTCCTCCTCCTCCTCCTCCTCCTCCTCCTCCTCCTCCTCCTCATCGCACTCCTTCTAGTCGCCCTCCTCTCCCGCGCCGCCCCCGCCGAAAGGACAGAAAAAAGGAGCAGAAGCCCGAGGACGAGGAGCGCCCTCGCGCTCCAGAGGCTCCCGCTCAGCGCGCTGGCGCGGCCCTTCCCTCCTCCGCCCCCTTCCCCCCCCCTCAAGATCAGAGTGAGGGGGCCGAACAGTCATTCCGTGCTGGAGTGCGTGGCTGAGGTGGGGTTCCGCGGTGGAGTTTATGATTGCTGTTGTTGTTCCTGCTGTTGCTGTTGTTGTTGTTGTTGTCGTTGTTGTTGTTGAACATTATTAATTCTAAAGAATAATTATTGTTGGGCCCCCTGGTGCGCGCCCCCCCCGCCGCGCCTAGGCCGCAGCCACGTTTTCATCATTTTCGTGAGGAAGCCTCAGGTAATTCGAGGTGATCAAGATCCGGTTGTTTTGTTGTAATCCGTTTTCCCTTGCAAAAAACACTATAAAATGACATTTCTTGTTCTAATATAATCAAATTTCAAGAATCCCTTGCAAAAAATAAGGTAAAGTGGACATTCGCGCGCGCAAGACGAAATCCTTCCAAAAGCTTAGTGTTCGGAGCGATTTTAACATAAAAACATCAAAAAACCAATGGTTTTTCAACAAAAAAATGTCAAAATCTCATCCCGCGCGCTCTTGCGGATTCGTAGGAAAACCAACACTTTTTAAACATTTCTGTCAAACGGGCTTTTGCGAGCAACTTTTTCGAACTTCTGCGACAACGGTTGCGCACCTGCCAGGGCCATCATCCCTGTCAAATAATACCATGCGGGACACATTCGTTTTTTCTTCGCGCGCGCACGCCGAAATCTCCAAAAACCATTGGGTTCTTAAGAATTTTAGCACCGCGCATCATAAAATCACACGAATCGCACCGTAGGTCCTCGAAAAACACCTGCACGACTTTTCAAAATTTCCACCCGCGCGCGCTGTCCGAATCCTAAAAAAACCAATGGTTTTCCAACATTTATGTTACATGAGCTCGCGCGAGCTACTTTCGCACGCTCTTGCAACGGGGTTCGCGCGCCTGCCAGGGGCCATAATCCCTTGCGGTTGCGCCATAGGTTGCGCCCTCGGCCGCCGAGAATAAAACGCCCCCCTATTGGTTGCGCCATAGGTTGCCCCACGCCAGTGTAGTAGCCACGGTCGTCCGCACGCCACGAAGTGAAGTGTCCCAACGTCATAGGGCGGGAAGCTGGGTTTGGGTGGTCGCGAAGAGTCGTTTGGATATTTGGTAGAGCTTGTAATGCCCCCCCACGAAGTGGGGGTATTGCCTGGTGTCGTATGAAAACCCTGGCACTGGGGAGAACACCGCGCGTTCGGGTAAAATGATTGTTGTTGTTGTTGTTGTTGTTGAACATTATTACTTCTAAAGAATAATTATTGTTGGGACCCCTGGTGCACGACCCCCCCGCCGCGCCTAGGCCGCAGCCACATTTTCATCATTTTCGTGAGGAAGTCTCAGGCAAAACGGGTTGGTCCGGATCCGGTTGTTTTGTTACGGTTTTCCCTTGCAAGAAATAAGCTAAAGTGGACATTTCTTGTTCTAACATAACCAAACTTCAAGAATCCCTTGCAAAAAATAAGGTAAAGTGGACATTCGCGCGCGCAAGACGAAATCCTTCCAAAACCTTAGTTTTCGTAGCGATTTTAACATAAAAACATCAAAAAACCAATGTTTTTTTTTCAAAAAAATGTCAAAATTTCATCCCGCGCGCTCTTGCGGATTCGTAGGAAACCCAACACTTTTTAAACATTTCTGTCAAACGGGCTTTTGCGAGCAACTTTTTCGAACTTCTGCAACAACGGTTGCGCACCTGCCAGGGCCATCATCCCTGTCAAATAATACCATGCGGGACACATTCGTTTTTTCTTCGCGCGCGCACGCCGTCGTCGTCGGCCGCGGGGCCCTGAATAGTAGCCACGGTCGTCCGCATGCCACGAAGTGAAGTGTCCGAACGTCATAGGGCGGGAAGCTGGGTGTGGGTGGTGGCGAAGAGTCGTTTGGAAATTTGGTAGAGCTTGAACCGGCCCCCCCACAAAGTGGGGGTATTGCCCGCCTCCTATGAAAACCCTGGCACTGGTGAGAACGGAGTGTTCCCACGTGCTAGTAATTGTTGTTGTTGTTGTTGTTGTTGTTGCTGCTGCTGCTGTTGTTGTTGTTGTTCCCTACCTAGGCTCTGCCTAGAAGGGTTCTTACTCGAAAGGCTTAAAGGGGCCGGGCAATGCTAATCGCCCCGGGCGGTTCCCCCAGTCCCCGCCCCGCGGTTCCCCCAGTCCCCTGGGAGCTCTAGCCTTTAGCTTTAGCTTAGCTTTAGCTTTAGCTTTAGCTTAGTGTTAGCTTAGCTTCAGCTTAGCTTTAGCGTAGCTTTAGCTTAGCTTCAGCTTAGTGTTAGCTTAGCTTTAGCTTAGCTTCAGCTTAGTGTTAGCTTAGCTTAGCTTAGCCTTAGCTTAGCTTTAGCTTAGTGCTAACTTAGCTTTAGCTTAGCTTTAGCTTAGCTTTAGCTCAGCTTTAGCTCAGCTTTAGCTTAGCTTTAGCTTAGCTTTAGCTTAGCTTTAGCTTAGCTTTAGCTTAGCTTTAGCTTATCTTTAGCTTAGCTTTAGCTTAGCTTTCGCTTAGCTTCAGCTTAGCTTTAGCTTAGCTTTAGCTTAGCTTTAGCTTAGCTTTAGCTTAGCTTTAGCTTAGCTTCAGCTTAGCTAGCTTAGCTAGCTTTTAGCTTAGCTTTAGCTTTAGCTTTAGCTTTAGCTTTAGCTTAGCTTAGCTAGCTTAGCTTTAGCTTAGCTTAGCTTTAGCTTAGCTTCAGCTCAGCTTTAGCTTAGCTTTAGCTTAGCTTTAGCTTAGTATTAGCTTAGCCTTAGCTTAGCTTCAGCTTAGCCTTAGCTTAGCTTTATCTTAGCTTCAGCTTAGTGTTAGCTTAGCTTAGCTTAGCTTTAGCTTAGCTTTAGCTTATCGATCAGCTTAGTGTTAGCTTAGCTTTAGCTTAGCTTTAGCTTAGCTTTAGCTTAACTTTAGCTTAGCTTTAGCTTAGCTTAGCTTTAGCTTTAGCTTTAGCTTTAGCTTAGCTTTAGCTTAGCTTTAGCTTTAGATTTAGCCTTCGCTTAGCTTTAGCTTAGCTTTAGCTTTAGCTTAGCTTTAGCTTAGCTTCAGCTTAGCTTTAGCTTAGCCTTAGCTTAGTTTTACCTTAGCTTTCGCTTAGCTTCAGCTTAGCTTTAGCTTAGTTTTAGCTTAGCTTTAGCTTAGCTTTAGCTTAGCCTTAGCTTAGCTTTAGCTTAGCTTTAGCTTAGCTTTAGCTTTAGCTTTAGCTTAGCTTCAGCTTAGCTTTAGCTTAGCTTTAGCTTAGCTTCAGCTTAGCTTCAGCTTAGCTTTAACTTAGTGTTAGCTTAGCCTTAGCTTAGCCTTAGCTTAGCTTTAGCTTAGCTTCAGCTTAGCTTTAGCTTAGCATTAGCTTAGCTTTAGCTTAGCTTTAGCTTAGCTTTACTGTTACTACTAATGCTGCTTTCCTAGGTAGGGTCGCACTGGGATAATTGTTGTTGTTGTCGTCGTTGCTGTTGTTGTTGTCGTCGTTGCTGTTGTTGTTCTTGTTGCTGCTGCTATTGTTGCTGCTGTTGTTTGTTGTTGTTGTGGTTGTTGTTGTTGTTGCTGTCGTTGCTGTTGTTGTTGTTGTTGTTGTTCCCTACCTAGGCTCTGCCTAGAAGGGTTCTTGCTCGAAAGGCTTAAAGGGACCGGGCATTGCAACCCGCCCCGGGCGGTTCCCCCAGTCCCCTGGGAGCCAAGCAACAGCAACAGCAAAGGTACAAGCAAACGCGTGGTTCCCCCAGTTGCGCTCCCTGGGTGCCAAGCAAAAGTAAAAGCAAAGGCAAAAGTGAAGGCAAAAGCGAAGGCAAAGCAAAAGCATAGCATAGCATAGCATAGCACAGCATAGCATAGCGCAGCATAGCATAGCGCAGCATAGCATAGCATAGCATAGCATAGCCTAGCCTAGCCTAGCCTAGCCCAGCATAGCATTGCGCAGCATAGCATAGCATAGCATAGCATAGCATAGCATAAAATAACATAGCATAGCATAGCGCAGCACAGCATCCACTATTGCTGCTGCTACACACTTATATATACATATATATATATATATATATATATATATATACTACTGCTACTACTACTACCGCTACTGCTACAACTACGACGATGAGGAGAAGGAGGAGGACGGCGTTTACCGCTCCTACTAATGTTGCTTTCCTAGAGGCTCCAACTCTTAGGTAGGGTCGCACTGGGATAAATTTTGTTGTTGTTTTGCAGGAATCCAGAGACCCCCAGCAGGTTTACTGACAGAGATCATGCCATTGCTGGTATGGCTCAAGGCAAGCATCCGAAGAAAAGATTTCGCCATGGTAGCGGAGCCGTGGTCCCGACCCTCCCAGTCCACAGGGTCGGGCTCCGCGGCTCCCTCTCCCGCCAGCGGCGCGAGGAGCCCCAGCAGCCTGGGGCCGGCCGCCGGTGCGGGAGCCGCAGCAGGGCCTGCCGGGCCCAGCTCCAGCGAGGGCGACGAGTGGGAGCTCGTCGAGGTCCATCGAGGCTGGAGGAGAGTGGCGAGGCAGCTACGCAAGCTGTTCAGGCTGAGGAGGACCTGGGCAGCGCTGGGCCAGCACCTGAAGGATTTCACGAAGCTGCGCGCGAACCGCCGCTGAGATGGCGGAGGGGCGCGTGCAGGCTCTAGAGCAGCAGATGATAGCGCTGGCCCAGGAGCTGCAGAACCGCCAGCAGAGGGAGAACGATCTCACGGCCGAGGTGCAGCGGCTCGGCCGTGTGGCCGAGGCTAGACCACGGGTGGACGGGCCTGTGCCGCAGCCTCGAGCCGAGTCGCTCGTGGACACCCGCGCGCTGGGCATGCCAGACGTGTTCACGGGCGAAGAGCACAAGTGGAACGATTGGAAGGTGATCTTCAAGGCGTACTGTGGCGTCGTGGACGCCGACTTGCTGGCAGGGATGCGACTGGCAGAGAGCGCTGACGAGGCCTCAGTTCAGAACGATGACTTCCTCGAGGAGAACATGAGG